GAAAGAAGGTGCTTTTAGATTGGATGTAAAGAAGAAATTTTTTATGATGAGTGGGGAGGCACCGGAACAGGTTGCCCAGAGGGGTTGTGGATGCCCCACCATTAGAAGTGGTCAAGATCAGGGTGGATGGGGCTTTGAGCAACTGGACCTAGTGAAGTATGTCCCTGCCCACAAGCAGGTGGGGTGGACAAGCTAATCTGTAACCACCCCTCCCAACCCAAACCATTTCACGATTCTGGGAAAAAAAAGGTGTCATAGCTGCTTAGCTGAGAGCTGGGGTTTGGTACCCAGCCAGCAATCGCTGCCTGTAAGGGAGATCTCCGAGTGCGAAGCTGCTGCGTGCTGGGCACACGTGGGCTGCCCAGCGCCACCAGCAATGTCGCTCCTGCACCAGCAGCGGCACATGGGCAGCGGGGGGTATTTTTCACCCCATTTCATCACCTGCAGCCCAGCAGCTCCCCTTGGCCAGTTGGTCCAGGGTCACTCCTACTCCCTGCTCAGGGATGGCTGCGTGAACGCAGGGCTGGGCACGGGCAGGTTTCATTGCAATTCTGCGTTGTTTAAGAACCAAACCTTCCCCCCCTCAAGCCCTCTCAGCTATAGGCCTCAGCCATTTGCGACCTCTGCACGGAGAGACTTCCCAGCTGTTCTCCCACTTGCTTTGTCAATAGCTATTTTTACAAAATTGCTTTTCTTTACTTATTAATTGATCTAAATCCTTTCCCTTAGCTTTCTTGTTAAAGGTGGATTTAAAGAGGAGTTCATTATCTCAGCCATTTTTTAATCATTATGAATTTCATCCCTCTCCTCATTAATTACTCATTACCCCTCACTCTGGAGGGCTGCTTTGTCCCTGATGTGCTTGCGAGCAGCTTCCCTGGCACCCTGTAATCCCCCTGGCCCCGTGTTAGCTCGGTCTGGTTTATGCTGCCTTCACTTTCCCCTCCACTGCCCGCTCAGCTGCTCCCCGTCTCCTCTGCTGCCAAGCAAGCCCTTGCCTTTCCACTGTGCCCGAGCAGTTGTCCCCTGCAGAGCCCTCCCACAGCCGCCCAGCCCTGGGTCCCTCCATGGGTCAAAGCCCCATGAGCATCTTCCCTGTGCATTGTGCCTGCCCCAGAAGACAAGCACCCATCCCCGCTGGCCCCCATGCCGAGCAGCAAGAAGGGTTGCTTGCTCCTGGTTAGTGGGTTGGCACTGGAGTTGGATATAAATAGTCCTTTTTTGGAAAGCGATGGCTTTGCTTGGCCTGTCTCAGTACCTGCCAAGCTATGACAAAGCAGCATGGAGAACAGAGCAACGTTGCATAAGGACCTTGGGTTTAACGGGCCAACATTTCCCGAGCCTTTGGCTGCAGTCAGATCCCCAGGGAGAACCTGAAACATAAGCATCTCCTGTGCTACTGCTGCAGCAGTGCAGGGGACCACAGTGGCTGCTGTGGCAGCCCATCTCCTCCCATCGTCCTCCCATCTGTGCAAGAGCACTTCCCTGGCAGGGGAGAGCTGAACATAGTACGGGCACTGAGAGACTGACACTGCTACTGAAGCAACCTTCTCCAGTCCCATGCATGTATTAGCTATAACCCCTTGTTACCCACAAATGGATCCATGACTGGGGGTCACAACGAGTGATGGTCTTTCTCTGGACCTAAACAAACACACAACCACCCAGTGTCTGCTGACAAGAGACCCCCTCCATCCCAGCCTGATGCTCAGGTTGTTTTCCATGCCCATGTTGCCCCAGCAGCTTCCTAAAGGCCTTGCAGGAATTTTTTCCCATCAGAACAGGGGATGGAGGTTTACAGTCTGTCCTCTCCTCCCCAAGGTCAGTCCTACCATGTGCTTCTGCACCGAGCCTCCTCCCAGCAGGCTCCTGCCGGGGCTGGGGTGCGCTCGCCAGGGGGGGCCGTTTCCATACTTCGCCCTTTCCATACTTCATGGATATGTATGAAAAGACAAAGCAGGAAAATGCGTTGGGTTGGTAAAGGGAAAAGAGGGAGGGGTGTGTGATATTTGCTTGAGGAGAGTAAACGAGGGTTGCACAAGCAATTGGGTTGCACAACCAGAAGCTGTGGAATTATTTAAGTTAACAAGTTACCACTGATCAACTGAGCTGCACTTTCTCAGGCATTTTAAGCCAAAACATCTTATTCTTCAACTGGAGCAAATTAAGATAAGGCACCTGGTCCAGGAGTGCAACTCTGCTGGCATGCACTGAGCCACTCCTCGGCGCGAGGGAAGGGGTCTCAAAATCGTTTGAGGGGGATTGCAAAGTGCTAGGCTGTGAAGAAATCAGCAGCAGTTCAGACCCTCCAGGACAGAGAAACGAATCGAGAGCAGGCTGCAAGTGCTTAGAGGAAGCCTTCACGCTTGCCAGCAATCTCCTAACTACCTTTAATTGCTGGCAGCAACTCTGCTCCTCCACCATAGGGGAGAGTCCAGCAAAAGCATCTAAGCCCGCAATTACAGCCATTCCTCATTCCCCATCTGTGAAGCAACCATGTGGCTTAGGACAACAGGGGACTTCGTGACAAAGAAGCTACAAGGGACAGATACTTTGAGGTGGTTCAATAAACAAACACCCCCTTGTCAACACGCTGCAGTCTCAGCCCTAAAGGACATGCCAAAATCCAGCACAGGAGGAGCCAGGAGACTGAGCAAGAGGATTATTTTCTTCTGCTCCTGGATTTCATTGGGAGTAACAGCTTTGGGCTGCTCCTGTTGAGCTTTTCACTTGCTGTGGTTGCATCCTGCAAAACTGTTGCCTTCTGCCATGCTGCTCCTGCAGCAAAGAGGGGCGGCCTGCGCTGGCACCCCCGAAGGTGCAGGTCTTGGCACCAAGACCAGTATTTGTGTATTTTCCAAGGAGATCAGCAGAGGGTCAGACCACGGCAGCAAGTGCCTGGAGGCATGAGCCATTGCTGGGAGAAGACAACTTGCTGGAGGGGAGCTCTGTGCATCTGGCAATGGTTGGTGATGAGCCAGCAGCTGCAGCTCCATCTTGGCCTTCGCTCCTCATAACCTGAGCAGCAGCGCAAAGGTTGGGTAAAACCCAGCTGCAGGGTACCAAGAGCTGCTCTCTCAAGATGGAGTAGGAGAACGCCCAGCCTCCTCTGATCCAACCCTTGCTGCCTGGTGCTCCGGAGGGAAAGGAAGCCTCCAGCCATGCAAACAGCCCCCTGCGTGGGTCTTGCACAAACTGCCAGAATGACCAATTTCTGCCTCTGTGGGATGTCCCTCTCCTCAACCCCCACAAGGGTTTTGCAAGGACTGACCGTTTTAAGCACGTGTCAGTGAAATCCAGCTCCCCAGCTTGGGTTGTCTACTACCACATTTGCAATGCCTCAGACTTCAGAGCTTTTCCAAATCCCTCAGGGCTGTAAGGCTAATTTAGGCCAGCATCTGGAGTTTTACAAGGCACAGACGAGATAGTGCTCTATTCATTCTCTCTTCCCTTTCTTATAACTGCAGGTACCTGGCACTCCTCAAAAAAAAAAAAAGAAAAACCCCACATGGGAAGCACTGGGAAGAATCCAGGATGACTGGGCAAGGCCGGACCTTCCCTCATATTGCTCTGACATGTGGCAGAGTCAAAAATGACCCTGCCACTGCAGGGATGAGATGGTCCATCTGCAGGAGGGAAAGCGATGACTGCTCCTCGCTCCCAGCCAGGCTCCTGAATCTTGATGCAGAAAAGTGCCTGGGCTGGCACAGGCAGCGCTGGGGCAAAGGAGGCACCGGTGAGGCTGCTGATGCTGTGAAGGGTCTGCCAAAAAAAAAAACCAAACCCACAAACCCCCAAAAAACCCCCACCCTAAAAACCAAACCAAAATAAAACCTAAACAAAACTATCACTTGTCTGAAACTTCCCCCCAGAATTGTCAAACTTGTAGCTCAGTAACTAGCTGCAGAGTAAGTGCAGACAGAATAATCACCTTGCAAGAGGAGAGAGTATAGTATAACCAGCAGCGCTTTATCCAGCATGGCCAGAACCACCATGTCCCAAATCCTGGTGCTCATGCACCCCAACACTCTCCCTGTACTCCTCTGCCTGGGAATATTCACACCAAAAGCCTCCCATAGGGAATCTGAACTTCCTGTGCATTCCTGACTCCCTTGCATCCACCAAAAGGTATTTGAGGGCATTTTACCTTGATGCTAAAGAAATAGCATCAAGGCAAGAGTCATGCCCTAGGGGATCTGTTTCCCTACTGTAGAGCCCAGCTTCACTACAGGTTTTTAAATTGCGACGAACTACTATTCCCCTGGGATAGCACACAAGCACGTGAGGGCTCAGGCTCCCTGGCCACTTGAAGTTCTTTGTCTTTTGGTACCAGGCAGAGAGACCTGTGCAGCTCCCAGTACCCCTTCACCTCCCCAAACCCTCCATCACCCAAATTTCTCCTGCCACATATTTTAAAACCTCTGCAATTCTCTTAACGAGCCTCATAACACAGGCACCTTTTGAAGCCCTTGCTCCTTGAGTTACAAGACTTTGCACGAAACCATCAGCTTTCAAACTGCATACGGCTCTCCAGTTTGTAAGGTCAAAAAGAATCCCCTAAAACCAGGACTTCCCAAAAGCTTTTACCAGCTGACAGCAGAAGGCCAGCACCCCAAAAGATCAGCTGCCTGCTGGCCCCACTGCTGCTCAGACTGGTGCCTGTAGGGAACAGCCAGACCACCATGCACCCTATAATTAACACGTGAAAACACAGCAGCCAGGGCAGGAATGAGAGCAAATCCTTTCCAAGCAAAGGCTGCTGGAGTGAGGAGCTGTGTTGGATAATAAATCTACGTTAATATTTCTCCCCCCCCCCAAAAGAAATCCAACTTCCACTTACTCTAGGGCAAACTCAAAAGGTTTTATTTTGATTTTTTTTTTAGCAAATTCTATCACATAAATGTTAACAAAAAACATCTGTACAATTGCCATGATACACTCAAAAGTGAAACAAATAAGATATAAATACAGATATGGATGTAACATGACAAAAGCGGAAAAAATAGAAAAAAATACATGCGCATGAACACGGTGCCAACAAAGTCATTTGTCATCGCTGGCATTTTTCAGAGCAGTTTTTACTTCCCATTTAAAACATTGTTAGCAATGTCCTGCTGTATTCTACAAAGGTCTATTTTTCTGTCCCTTAATATGTAATATTATGCTTGATAAATAAAGGGGTGGGGAGAAAAGGTTTTGATGACAAAGATGCGAGTTACGTTACTTATACAGGTTATTGGTAAGCTAGTAGTAAGCAATAAAAAAAGACAGTCTCGTATTGTATTGTAACCCAGGCAAGCACACATAGTGTACCTTAAGAAAGCCACATGCCTCGATATTTCTGCACTACATGAGAACTACAGTACGTAGACCTGTGGGGCGGATGGATCCAGTATTTGCCCATGCCCACGGAGCACTGGTGCAGCCAATGGCAGAAAAAACATCCACATCTGAGATTTCGGCAACCTTGCAGCCAGGAGCCGCTGTCTGCTGAGAGTCTTCTCTCATTCAGACTTGTAAAGCATGGTGGGCAAATAAAATACACTTTTCTTTTTTTTTTTTCCTCCTTTTTTTTTTTTAAAGGTACGAAAAATTGAAGCCCTGCATAATGGGCAGCAAGGAAAAAAAAAGGCAGCTGCAGTAGGTGGCTACTGCTGGGAGAACGTGAACAGAAGCTTCACCGGTGTGGTGAGGCACTGCCAGCACGCAGATCTTTCTCTGCAAGCATGCGTGGACACTGTGATTTGTAGCCAGAGAGACCTTTATGCTCACTGAATAGAAACCAAAATGATTGTACAGCTTGTTGAAGTCAGAACACTGGAGATCAGAGAGGTGACATTCGGAGCTAGCCCTTTGAGTACTTCAAAGGAAACAGAAATAAAAACAAAATCGGGTCATGTTCAACATACTAAACAACCTTACTATGTACATTATACGCAATGACTTATAAATACCTAAGCAGAATGCTCTCTACTGTATACAGGTATAACATACTTCTAGAGTACTCAAAGGATGAACAGTCCTCGACTGACTCACATAACGAAATTAAGTAGCACGTTAATGAGCATCTGTTGACAGAACAGAATCTGATTCAGAAAGTAAGGCCTGGTTCTACCATTTGCAGCCCCAAGTGTGCCAATAGCATCGGAAAATACACGCTCATCGCTGGAGTCGCAGCAGGTTGCACGCGTCTTTTGAAGGACGAGCTGTTAACGCCTACTGTAGTGCCAGCGCACGCGCTAGGGTCAGTTCAGGGACGTTACAGTGCGTTCACTCTCAGTGCATACTAACAGGATTTTATAAAATATATAAAATCATTTGAGAAGGAATTCAATTCCTGGAGATTTGCTACAGTGTGCCATAAAAAAAAAAAAAAAACAAAAAACAACCCCAAAAAACACAAACCAACCAACAAACAGCAAACTGTGATGGACCAAGCTCCATCACAGCTGGGAGGGACTAAACGCCGCTTGGTCAGCTATGCTGACCTTCTGAAACCCACAGCTGGAACAGAAGATGCTGAACTGAGATGGGTAGAAAGAGAGGCATAAATACTAAGTTGTTAGAGTACAAATTAAAAAAAAAAAAACCACCCACACTACTAAAAATTCAAACAGGACAGCTAACTGCTGCCAACAAGTCGGCTGAATTTTTCCTCAAAAGGGAAAATAAATTCATGTTAAACTAAACCAATTTGAATCATTCAAAAAATTAAAAAAGAATATTCTAACAAGCATACTGAAAGATGTTGAGAAAAGGAATGGTCCACAGAAAGGGAGACGCCAACCACGGAGCAGCCAATCCTCCCTCTAGTGAGGACGGCTTTTCTGAGCCTGCAGGAAGACCCTGGGGGAATCCCACCCACCAGGATCGCACGGTTTCTCCTGCCATGGCGTTACTCATTGGGAAAGATGAGGGAACTAGCCCTGCAGCCAGCAAAAGCCTGGCACTTCCTGACAAACTCAGGAGCAGGTCACCAACTCTGCTCTCATGTCAAGCAGGGAAAGGGACCAACAAGCTTTGCAGACCAATCCCACACAATCCCCACCAGCCACAACCCCTCTTGATCTGGGGATGGGGAGGGGAGCTCCCAGCATGGCTCCTCAGGGCTGGGGCTGAGACACACAGGGATGCACTGATGGAATGGGAGGGGGCTTTACCCTCCCCACTGCAGTGCTGAAAACGCTCATGTTCTCGGTAGGCTACCAAGGTGTCCCTGCAGCTCCCCAAAAGGGAAATGGAGGGGAGCTGCAGAGAGACCAAGGCACCGAGAACAGCCAGGGAGCACACACCCACCACCAACCACAGCTGTGGTCGCAAGCTGCAGGTCTACCACCCTCTTGTACTGGGGGCAAAAACCCAGTTCTAATCCACTGCAGGTTTGGGGTGGGCATGCCCATCAGCGAGGATCCAGCCCAGGGTATTTGATTGCTGCTGGTTCAGCTCTGACTTGGTCTGTGCCATCAGATTTGCCCTGCTGCACCCTCACCCAAGAGCACCCTGCTGACAGCGGTGCCCATCGAGGGCCCTCCGCACTCCTCCGAAATGCAGAGCACCCAACAGGGCTGTGCACGGGGCTGGCCAGGAAGAAGGGGGTTCCTACTGCAGGCTCTTCAGGCATGGAGGGGAGCTGTGGCAGGCACTGTCCCAGCTGGCTCAGCAGGTGCTTCCACGGGGTCTTTTTGTTCAGTTTCAGATGCCCTTTCTGTCCTCTGGGATGAACATTTTGTCCAAAGCAAAAAGGAGTTGTGGGGACAAAGCCATTCACCACCCAACATCAGTGGGTCAGGTCAGAGCAGCAGATCAGCCCTTTGATGCTACAGACTTCAAGAAAAATGCAGCTAGCCTCACCAGGCAGCACTGAGATACAGCCCTGCCAGCTCCCACCGTCCACCCATGGACACACTCGGAGCCTAATCCAACACCCACCCACCTAACTCCAGTGTCCCATCACAGGCATCACTCCCAAAACTGAGTCTCAGGTTCCCTTTGGGGAGTAACAAGTAACCTGGAGAGTCTTTTGAGCATATGAAAGATCCAAATGGGTTATGAGGGAGAAATATTTACAGAGTCAATGAAAGGAGCAAGATCCCAGCTGCTTTGCACAGCACAGCTGGCTGGAGAGCAGTTACAGAAAAAAATCGGCCCATCGGAGGTCTGTCTGAAGAACTATGTACAAAAACTCAGATGTTTAAAAAGAACCTACTTTTTCATTACTCACTTGATATCTCTCAGTATTAAAGCGTCTGAGGCTGGAATCACAGCCACATCTGCAATGATCTCCCCATGGAGAGCCCTGCACATTGGGCAAACTGCAACAGGGAGTACAAAACAGGACCACAAGACTTGTAAGAAGAGGAGAACCTAGCCAGAACGGCTGCGGCCACAGGGAGAGCAGGTAGCTAGCACATAGAAACCAAAAGTGGGTATGAACTAAGCCGACAAGATTTGTTTGACCTTTATGCGTGTCCACGTTCTTGGACTGTTTTGGAACGCTAACCTAAACATATTTCCGAGATTTCAGCAGGCTATACAAATATGTTTAAGTATGGCTTTCTGTTGTTCACTTTTAATGAAGACTGCAACACAGACCTTGCTTCCTTTACATTCAATACCAGTAAGATTCTACATAAAAGCTTTTAAGGGACTAAAATACTGATTGCAATAAATATCTGCATGGCCTCCTTGAGCTGATGGAGCGCGCCAGTGAAGAGTAGCAGAAAGGTCTCTGAGAGGCACCGTTGATTGCTTCTAAGTCTACACATATGTCCACATATCTCCATTAACTGTGCGTTGAAACGTCTGAAGAGGAACTGCTGTTGCTGTTGGTGGTCTGGGCCCTCTTTATGTACAAGTTTAGTAGCTTCATCTGAAAGAAAAAAAACATGAGAAAATGCCAGGAAAAACAAGCGGACAGGTCAACTGCAAATCTTGAAACTTGCGTTCTGTGGTGAACTCAGTTTTGAGCGAGCTGACACTGAGCTCTCTGGCAGAAAAGCAGAAGCAAAGCTGAACATATTTCAGAACAGAGGCAGGAGGGTGGATATACCTAGTCCCACTGCAGTTATTACAGGCAGATTTAATGGGATTTAGAAAAACCTCTTGCATTTCACTTCAGCAGCCATCAGTTCACAGACCTCAGTCCCACAGCCTGCTCTGAGCAAGCAGGATTCCCACAGAGGTCAGTGGGGCTGCAGGCACACTGGCGATCCAATAGCCATGGTCCCTCCTAGGAAACACCCCAAACTCTCCATGCTTTATGAAGCGTTCATTTTCAATGACATTTAAATATCTTCACTAACTTGGTACATCTAGTGAAACTGCAGCTGTTATGACTATATACCTCCTTTGCACAGGTTTGGGTGGGTTTTTTTTCCTTCCTTACCACCTTAGCTCCAGATCCTGCAGTGACTCATGCACACGTTTAACTTTAAACACGCAGGCAGTCTGCGTAAACCCAGAAGTATTACTCACACGTTTATAGTTAGTTATGTGGTGGAGTAAGTCTGTGGCACTAGAATACTGGGATAAAGTCTCTACAACATTTTATAGGGGCATTTCCTAACTGCCCAAATATGAGGTAAACCTCAGCACCCATAGCTGTCTCTTTCCAGAGCAATTTGGAGGCACGAATAATTTGTTTAAGGGCAAGGCAACTCAATTCAGAAATAAAATCCAAGTGTCCTCATTCTCAGGTCATTTTGGCCTGCACCGTGCTTCCTTTCCATGAAAGAAATTACTTCAACACAACAGAATGAAGCCCTCTCAACCACATAGCTATTCACATGCAGAGATCTATTTCAGAAACAAAAATGCAGAATTTGTCTTAAAATTGCAGAGAAATCTCGGGTATGATGACTTCAAACAGGAGACGAAATCTTGTGACTGCTTCCTGAGCAGCTCTGAAAAGCAATTAAACACCACCCACCTCAGCACAAAATGCCAGCCCTTGTCCAAAGGACAGAGCTGTATTAAGGACTTGATTTCCCTTGCAGCATCAGGCTAGAATTTGAGTTTTGCTGCTAACCTGACTCCAGGGCACAAAATCCTTTGAAGGGTCAACTTGAGTTTGCTGGCGTCCCCGGAGGAAAGGGACACATCTGCCATGCATTACGAGTGAGGCTTTACATGCATTTCTGCCAGCCCTAATCGCAACCTGCTGCTGCAAAGACCTGCTCTCCCACCCATCCCAGTCACACATTCCCACCACTCTCTGCTCTAGATTACCTGTGCAGATGCAGAGTGGACTGAAAGCTAATTAATTTGTATTGCAGATCTGGTTTTCAGCCAGAGCAGCCAGCTGATCCAACTCACTGCACAGTCACCCCTGGATGCAATGCTGAAGGGGCAAGGTAAACATGGCTGTAGTGGGAAGGACCCACATGGTGGCAGCTTGCAGTTATGCAGGAATAAATACGTTCATGAAACCGATCCCTGAACCCCACCAAAACTTGCTTAGTGGGATTTCAAATGCTCACACTGCTGAGCAAGTGGTGTGCTGTTCTAATGGTGTTTGGCAGAGCAAGATAGGATTTAACAGGCTACAGGGAACTTGACAAAGCTACCATATATCCCCGGTCTTGCTGCTAGTAGTGCAAGCCACTCAGCTGGCTATTATCAAAACACCGAGATGCAGTACTCTTGTACCTTGCTTCCTGTGAGTTGTGCGAGATGAGGTTTCAGTTCTTCTCCAATTACTGAATAAATTGCCACTAGGCAAAATACGCTAGCTTTACGGACGCTGCTCTCCGTATTATCATAACCCTAGGAAATAAGGGGGAAAAAAAAAAGGTCAGAAATCAAACAGCACTCACCAACATCCTTCCAGAGCAATATACTAAAGAGGTGATGAAAATTTTACAAATGTGGCTGACCTAACAGATCAACAGAAGGGCCCTGCTTAACATAACTGCTTGCAACCTGAATACTCAGAAGAGCAAGAAAACACAATCACCCAGTACATCCTATTTGTTCCTTATATTATTAGTTATTACTATCATGTTTTAAGTCATTAATGTGTTATTTACAGCGTTAAGCAACACCACACAGTTTCCCAACATGAGCTTAGGACTCTATCAAATACACGCATTCCTGTGTCCAGTTCAGATGACTATATGCTATCCTGGATGGCCAGGACTTCTTGGAGGGGAGCCCTCGTGCTCCCAGCTTGCCCTCAGAAGTCTTCCCTGACTCAAATCTAACTGAAAGGAAAGCAATTCTGCTCCTGAGAGCGAAGTTACAAGTGGAGATTAATTTTGCAGCCAAGTGGCCTAAAGGTTATATCACTCAGGACACGAAAGCCAGAATCCTGTTTTGTGAACAGATATTCTACACAAATATCTATTTGGACAGAATAGCTCTATCCAGGCATTAGAAACTGCAAAAATCAGAGTCATCCTGGATGTCTTCCAACTCTTTAAAACCACTGGGCTTAAACACTGTGTATAACAGCACTACACACATGTGCCAGTCCATTAGATGAACAGCCTCTATAACCTGGAGCTTTTTGATTACTTATCATGTAGGAAATACCACAGAAAATAACATGTTGAGAGACCCCTGTAGGTGGTGCTGGATCTCTGGCAGCTTCAGAAGAGCTCAAACTAGCCACCAGGCCACTCGGTAGCTGGTGACATTAGTCCTGTGCTCGGACAGTGATTCATCACTAAGCAGCCATCCCATGAGACACACAGACATCGCTTCAGCCTGCAGGATGCCGTCTCCTCTGGATGCAGGGTGACCTCTGCCAGGAAGGCCGAGAGGAAGGATGCGGTATGGCTGGGGCTGCCAGGCTGCCTGCTAGCAGGGCCCATGTTCTAGCTGCAGTGCCAAAATACAGTCTGAACTGACAGTCTGCAATCCCAAAGAGCACTGAACTAGAAAAGCAGAAGACCTAGGTGAGCTTAGAGAAGCATCAAGCTATTGAGGACCAAGGTGGAAAAAAGGCTGAGCCCAGGCCCACAGCAGGGGAATGCCCATAGAGACACAACCCACTGCTAGAGGAACAGCTAGGATGCAGGGAGCTCTCAGTGGGTCCCAATCCAAAAGCTCCTGAACTTATCAGATGCCTCTGCTTGACCTCAAGTTTCCCTATGGGCCTGGCATTTTGCTCATGTGTGCATCCCAAATTGCTCCTGCAAGGGCAGGCAGATCTGTGCAGTGTTGAGGCCTGTGGAGCCTTAAGAGGCTGTGTCCTGGTGGTGCTGGGCTGGCAGAGCCTGCCCCATATGCACCAGCAGGACTATCACCCCACCTCTCCATCTGCGAACTTGCTTAGAATCATAGAATTGTTTAGGCTGGAAAAGACCTTTAAGATCATCAAGTCCAACTGTTAACCTAACCCTGCCATCCCACCACTAAACCATGTCCCTAAACACCTCGACTACCCGTCTTTTAAATACCCCCAGGGATGGGGACTCCACCACTTCCCTGGGCAGCCCATTCCAAGGCAGCGGCTGCTGCTGCTCCTCCTGGCATTTAATAACACAGTCCAGAAGTTAGAGTATTTGCTCAGGAGATGACCTGGGCTCAAAGCTCTCTTCAGCCTGAGGGTATCGAGACACAGCACATGGGAGAGTACCTCACTGCCCAGCTCTACCCCTCCAGCTCCGAGGGAGCCAGGGCTCCGCACTGGGACCAGGGCAAGCAGCATGACTTCCCCCAGCCAAGCCACGTTCTTGTATGGAGACATCCTCATCTGCTCACAGGGGTCCTGCTCTGGGCTGCTGAGCTACACACTTGTGCTCAACTCTGCTACTGTCTGACATTCTTTGCCTCTTCACCACCCTGCTGATACCCTCAGCACGGTAAGCAAGCACACAGCCAACTCCCTCCACACACAGTCCTTCAGCCAGAAGGATCCCAAAACACTTCCCAAAACATGAGGAGCAGATTCCTTCAATCACTATGAGTTTCTAAGGTGAGGAAATATCACTGGCAGCTCCTAGATGAAAAATGGCAAACTAGGCTCAAAGACAAAATCTGTTTTAAGACATGGAAGCAATTTAATAAAACAAATATAACTGCTTTTTTTAAAGGCATGCTGCTCCCAAACTTTTCCAGTGCATTGAAGCTCCTCTGTTCAGATTGTTGTCTTGAGCAATCATGGCTAGAAACTTTTTACAACAGAAGTTTAGATCAATACAGAACTGCCTGATTCCCAGAAGCCGAGATTTAAGAAAAGAATTGCAAGAGATGACACTACAAAGTTGGGACAAATGCGAGGATGCACAAGGGGAACTTCTGACTTTTCTCTTGCCCTTCTAACTTTTCCAACTTGCTATGAGGAGGCTTTTTTTATCCCACTTCTCCACTGAAGTCTTACCCACCCAAACATGTCTCCCCTTTCACACTGACTGTTTCTGTTGCAATCCCTCCCCAGTAAACACACAGATATTCTCTCTCTTCCCTTGCTGCTGCCTCCCCTTATTTCCCTCTTGCTTGCAGGCTCATCCCAGCCACTGGCACTGCCAGTTGCTTGTGCAGGGGAACAGAAGGCAACACCACTACAGCCAGCACTGGAAGCTAAATTCACAATATAAGACCAAGCCTTAGCACTGGCATAAACAGAGCTCCCCACCCAGCCTGAGAGGGTTATGAAAGGGGCTGAATGAAGTCAGCAAGTAGTTTGGTCCTGATTTCAGAGAGAAAAGAAAAGGACTAGCCTGCCTGCTGGGATTCAAATTCAAGTGCGAAGTACAATCAAAGTGTAAAACAGCTCAGCAGAATTAAACGAGACTACAAGATGCATTGCTTGGGATGTACTGAGACAGCATAAGATGTGGTTAACTCCTGATCTCAAATTTATTACGTGGCTGCTCCTGGTTTATTTAGGAGTCAGGCCAAGGTGTCTAATTGTGGAACATACAATCGGAATCTGAGTTTTCTTTTCCTTACCATTAAAAACATCAAAAGTTCAAACATAAAAACTTAAGAGGGATTAAAGCTTTAATTTACCACAATCTGGCCCCAGAGGGTCCATCGTTTTCTCTTAGGTCACAGATCTCACAAATTACTCAGCAGTGGTTTGTGCTCAGGAGCATTTGTGACATGGGATTCTGTACCTGTAACAACCCAGGAATGATATCAGGAAGGAGCTGATGCAACGATTCCTTGGAAATCCTCTCGATGACTTTTGTCTGCATTTTGATGGCAGCTAAATTAATTGGATAATCTGCAGTCTGAATGATGGGGCAAAGCACCTTGATGCATTGCTCGGGATGGATGGAACTCGCCAGGGTGGAAGCAGCTTCTTCAGCAGCTCTAACAACCTGGAATAAAAGCAGAGCAAAACCTTACCTTAATGAGGTCACACATCACAGTCAAACCCACCAGTGTGTACTAGAAATGACTGCCAGGAAACGCTTGGGGATGTTTATTAGGAGGCTCTATCAAGAAGCAACTGATGTAGAGAATTCACATCCTTTGCCTCCAGCCAGTGTTCCATCTTTGTTCCAGCCAATGGCAAGAAGTCCATCCTGCCTAATGTAACTGCGTCAAAGTTGTGACTAGTTTGAAAGAGTCGTCTGTCACCCAAGATAGACAGAAATCCCCATCCTAGGAGAAGTGAGAGGACAGCATTTCTCCAGCCACTGTCAAAGAACCTAAAACCCACCAGCTTAGACTTGATACAAAATTTATCTCCTTAAACATTATAATCATAGAATACCATACTATAGTTTGGAAGAGACCTCAATGATCATTTGGCCCAAACTTCCTTGACAAAAGCACAGTCTAGTCAAGATGCCCTGCACCGTGTCCAGCCGCATCTTAAACGTGTACGTTGGGGAAAATGAATGACACCATCGCACCTTTTAGCATGCATCTCGCCTGCCGAGTGCTTGGGTACCCAAGCTGAGACACCCAGGCCTACACAGATATGTCCTGCCATTTCTCAGCTAAACTATGCTGTAATCAAACCCAGGCTACAGACACAAGAAGGCTTCAGAGTGTCCCTCACCAGGCAGGTGCTCTCAGCACATCTAACCTGTTAAGACAGCACTGGGATCACTATAAAACATGGGAGGAAGAACAAGTGGAAACATTGGTAGACTGCACCTTTTGCAACTAGCCCACACTGTAAAGCTGTCACACAGACCAAAGGAGATCCTAAATTCATTTCCACTCTTAGTCTGAGGAAAGGCAAATCCACAACTTCCACACTCTTCCCCCAGCAGGTAGGACAGCTAGCTGAAAGAGGAAAGACCCAACTGTGGTCTCTCCTCCCTTGAGAGTTTATTCATTTTACATTCTGCAGTAATTGGATCAAGAAACAGATGGGAAGGCAGGTTTTCTTTTTTCAAGTGTCTGTGCAATTGCCAGGCAACAAAATGAAGCTTCCCTGTGGTTGCACTCTTCCTGACCGCAAATCACGCTCTCTTTACTCCCCGTGTTCTTGTTTCAGTACAAAAGATGGAGGGTGCTTTTGCTCAACTTTTTTTTCTTCTCCCTCTTCTCAGGGCTTACTTTTAAGGGAGGGTAAGTCCTGAGTGCACAGAGATGGCCCAGTGGACAGACTTAAATCCAACACCTCAACTCTAAATAGAAAGAAGCCTTCACAGATCCTCATGCTTGGGATCTCCTGGCTAGCCCCAAGGCAACCCCTAACTCCGAGCTCAGGAGAACTACCGCAGCCTTTGAAGGCACCCTTTCTTTCCTGATCGTGCGGGGAAGTTCAGATGCGTAGCACCAGTCCTCTAACTTGTCCTAAGCTGAACTACCTGGGGTTGTCTGAAGTCGATACTTTGAAACCAGCACTAGGAAATCTGTCCCAGGCAACCTGCAAAAAAGCAAATAAATCAAACCACAGTCTCCCATCACTTAGACTGAAATGATACCTGCTGGATTCACCTTGTTCCCCTCTTCCACACAGTCATGGCATTGAACTCCAGGACTTCTATTTGACTAAGGCAAGACATGGACAGAAAGAGAGTTTTCATTATTTTTAAGTAACTACTGTGGATAACGCATGAACCAGGAATATTTGGAAGTCTCTCTCAGTCATTACTTGAACAAGAACGTCTCACTGCCTGGACTACAAAGCATTTTCCAGAAAGGTTGAATTGATTGTTAAGATAGCAGCAGTGAATAGTGACCAGAAGAGATCATGTCCATGTACAAAGCCCGCTTCACCCACAGTCTTAGCATCACTGCCACACCACTATCATTGATCTTCCACTCATGCTGACAGCTACCTCCATGAAACAGGAATGGCCACGAGATACTTGTACATCCAGGAAAGAACAGAAGTAATCCACTTGGCTCTTAGAATCCTCTAAAGAAAACCCAGCAGTGAAAACTGATCTCTGATACTTCACATAGTACGAATACTGTAGGCAGGCAAGGTACAGGCAAGATGGTGAAGCAGACCTGAGACCTTGATTGCTTCTGTATCAACTGTCAAGCTGCTCTATCTACCTCAGGCCTTTGTCAGCAATTAATTATAATGTTAATTAACATATTCCAAAAAGAATGGCAATCCACAATGTGGTCAGTATTCAAAAAAGGTCATCCTGAAAGATCTGTGAATGAGTAACCAAGCAGAATAGAATGCTAGTTTTCCCTCTTCCAGCTAGTTTTCCCTCTTCCAGCTATTTCTTTGCAAATTCCTCTTCAATTTCACACGAGGTGCATGAAAGTATTTTTCCATGTAAGCCAGTACTAGCTTAGAAGGAAGCGCTATGTGATTTTGTTGGGAAAGGAGAGAAACACTCAAGTACTTAAGGTAAACCTAATGCCATGCTTTGGTACCACGGTGTTGAATTGCTGGAGTTGGTGAAGTCAGGAGCTCCCAGGAGGTCTCCTTGAAAGGAATTAACTTCTTGGCATTGCCGCTTTTGACGTTGACTTTCCCAGTGCTGAAATACCGCTACTATCAAGCTTTCCACAAACAATGCAGCGGCCTGAGAGAGCCCAGCTATCTTGTAATCAACAACATTCACAGGCAAGTCACTAGCTAAAAAAAAAAATCTAACTATAACTATTTGGACACAGGCTGCTTGGGATTTTACTTTGCAACAACTCCAAATACTGTTCATAAATGTTTTCACAGACACTCTGAGAAAGAAAAGCTTGAATATATCACCACTTACAAATTTTTTTTTATTTTTTTTTTTTAGCATAAATCTTTCTAGTATCCTACTTGATAAGAAAGTAATAATATTTTATTTAGTAGGCACCTACAGTCAGACTCTGATATCAAATACACTACTGTAAGCTTTAAACAGTACTGGAGTAGGTAAAAAATTCAATGTGTAACTCTGCATTTCAGCTCCACATCCTGTGGGCATAAAGTTTACCATGAACATTAGGTTGCAGATATGAGGTAAAAGCTTTTTAAAAAGCCTGTTACCAATTCCAAGCACAAGAGGTTAAAATACAGCTGAATTTTTTTCCCAAAATGAGCCAGGGTTCAAATAGAAACAAAGGTCACATGTATTTTGTGCATAAGGTCAACAAGAAAAGTTGTAAAGGTGCAGGATTTCTTTATGCCCCTGCAAGTCCTCCTTTCAGTAAGGCTGCCCATTTCTAGCAAGGATCCGGCCGCGTTTGTGCAGCAGCTGGGTATTTCACATCGCTTCTCCCTGAAGTGCCTTCCC